CACACACAAAGGCTGTTCCAGGGAGGGGACACAGAAACAAGAGGCCACAATTGGAAGTTGAAGACACAAATGAGTCAGAGAGATAGTAGGAAGTATTTCTTCAGTCATAGAGTTGTAAGGCAGTGGAATAGCCTAGAAAATGACGTAGTGGAGGCAGGAACCATACACAGTTTTAAGACGAGGTTTGATAAAGCTCATGGAGCGGGGAGAGAGAGGGCCTAGTAGCTTCCGGTGAAGAGGCGGGGCCAGGAGCTAGGACTCGACCCCTGCAACCACAAATAGGTGAGTACAAATAGGTGAGTACACACACACACACACACACACACACACACACACATAATGCTACATAATGCGACGTCTATTAACATAGACATCTACCAGAAAATGCCACAAGGTCATCTTATTGATCCCCCTCTAGCATCTAGCAGGTTTCTAGCTTTGTAACAATTCGTTGCAAAGCCACACACATGCAGGGGCCCGCACACATGCACGAACACACACACGTGCGGACACACATACAGCACAAACACGAGCAGACATACAGTAGTATACACACAAAACACATGCAGACACTCAAATGACACACATGAAGATATTTACACATATGATACACAAACACAAGTGATGAAAGCAAACACATATATATATACACACACACACATATGATACACGAGGATACATACACAGACAAGAGTGTAATCCGCAAATACACACAAGGAAACAAGAAGGTGGAGCCGCAGACTGTATGGTCCACTGGTGTTAAAGTTGCAGTGTTGCTCACGCAGCTCTTAGTACTGTGGTGCTGCTGTGGTGTTGGTGCTGTGGTGCTGGTGCTGTGGTGCTGGTGCTGTGGTACTGGTGCTGTGGTGTTGGTGCTGTGGTACTGGTGCTGTGGTGGTGGTGCTATTGTGCTGGTGCTGTGGTGGTGGTGCTGTGGTACTGGTGTTGTGGTGGTGGTGCTATGGTGCTGGTGCTGTGATGTTGATGTGGTATTGGTGCTGTGGTACTGATGTGGTGTTGTTGCTGGGGTACTGATGTGGTGTTGTTGCTGTGGTGCTGGTGCTGTGGTGTTGTTGCACTGGTGTTGGTGATGTGTTGGTGCTGTGGTGTTGGTGCTGTGGCGCTGGTGTGGTGTTGGTGTTGTGGTGTTGGTGCTGTAGTGCTGCTGTGGTGTTGGTGCTGTGGTGCTGGTGCTGTGGTGCTGCTGTGGTGTTGGTGCCGTGGTGTTGGTGCTGTGATGCTGGTGCTGTGGTGTTGGTTCTGTGGTCTTGATGTGGTGTTGGTGCTGTGGTGTTGATGCTGTGTTAGTGCTGTGGTACTGATGTGGTGTTGTTGCATTGTGTTGGTAATGTGTTGGTGCTGTGGTATTGGTGCTGTAGTGTTGATGCTATGGTGCTGCTATGGTGTTGGTGCTTTGGTATTGGTGCTGTGGTGTTGGTGCTGTGGCGCTGCTCTGGTGTTGGTGCTGTGGTGCTGCTGTGGTGTTGGTGCTGTGGTGTTGATATTGTGTTGTGTTGTGGTGTTGATGTGGTGTTGATGTGGTATTGGTGCTGTGGTGTTGATGTTTGGTGTTGGTGCTGTGGTGCTGCTGTGGTGTTGGTGCTGTGGTGCTGCCGTGGTGTTGGTGCTGTGGTGTTGGTGCTGTGGTGCTGCTGTGGTGTTGATGTGGTATTGGTGCTGTGGTGCTGCTGTGATGCTGGTGCTGTGGTGTTGATGTGGTGTTGGTGCTGTGGTGCTGCTATGGTGTTGGTGCTGTGGTGTTGGTGCTGTGGTGTTGATGTGGTGTTGGTGCTGTGGTGCTGATGTGATGTTTGTGCTGTGGTGTTGGTGCTGTGGCGTTGGTGCTGTGGTGTTGATGTGGTGTTGTTGCTGTGGTGCTGCTGTGGTGTTGCTGCTGTGGTGCTGCTGTGGTGTTGGTTCTGTGGTGCTGCTGTGGCACTGCTGTCGTGTTGGTGCTGTGATGCTGCTGTGGTGTTGTTGCAATGGTGTTGGTGCTGTGGTGATGCTGCTGTGGTGTTGGTGATGTGGTGTTGGTGCTATGGTGTTGGTGCTGTGGTATTGGTACTATGGTGTTTGTGCTGCGGTGTTGGTGTTATGGTGCTGGTGTGGTGTTGGTGCCGTGATGTTAACGCTGTGGTGCTGCTGTGGTGTTGGTGCTGAGGTGTTGGCACTGTGGTGTTGGTGCTGTGGCGTTGGTGCTGCAGTGTTGGTGTTATGGTGTTGGTGCTGTGGTGCTGATGTGGTGTTGGTGCTGTGACGTTAGTGTTGTGCTACTGTGGTGTTGGTGCTGTGGTGTTGGTGCTGCTGTGGTGCTAGTGTCGTGCTGGTGCTGTCGTGCTGCTGGTGCTAGGGATGTGCTGTCGTGCTGCTGGTGCTAGGGCTGTGCTGTGGTGCTGCTGTCGTGCTGCTGTCGTGCTGCTGTCGTGCTGGTACTGTGGTGCTGGTGCTCTTGTGGTTGTGGTGCTCTGGTGTTGGTTCTCTGGTAGTGGTAGTGATGCGGTGCTCCTGTGGTGTTGTTACTGTGGTGCTACTATGGTGTTAATACTGTGGTACTGCTGTGGTATTGGTGTTGTAGTACTGCTGTGGTGCTGGTACTGAGGTGCTCTTGTGGTTCTGGTGCTGTGGTGCTGCGGTGGTGTTCGTGCTGTGGTGGTGGTGGTGGTAGTGCCGTGGTGGTGGTGGTGGTAGTGTTGGGGTAGTGGTAGTGATGTATTGCTGGTACTGTGGTGTTGCTGTGGTGGCGGTAGTGATGTGATGTTGGTACTGTGCTGGTGTTGGTAATGCTGTGATGCTGATCCTGTGGTGGTGGTAGTGCTTTGGTGTTGGTACTGGTAGTGCTGTGGTGACGGTTCTGTGGTGGTGATAGTGCTGTGGTGGTGATAGTGCTGTGGTGGTGATAGTACTGTGTTGCTGCTGTGGTATTGGTAGTGGTGCTGATGCTGAGGTGCTGGTGCTGTGGTAGTGGTAGTGCTGTGATGGCGATGGTGGTGCTGTGGTAGTGGTGATGCTGCTGCTGTTGTGGTGGTGGTTTTTGTGATGCTGATGTGGTGTTGCTGTAGTGTTGGTATTACGGTGGTTGTCCTGCTATAGTGGTGGTACTGTGGTGGTGTTGATGCTGTTGTGGCTGTGTCGTGGTAGTGGTGGTGCTACGGTGGTGGTGGTGCTGAAGTAGTGGTGGTGGTGGTGGTGGCTCGGTGGTGACGCTGGTGGTGGTGGATTTGTTTTTTGTGATAATGTGATTGTTTTTTTTGTGGGAATTCTATGTAGGAGATGCTGTGGTGGTGATACAACTGTGATGATGCTGTGGTGGTGATACAACTGTGATGATGCTGTGGTGGTGATACAACTGTGATGATGTTGTGGTGGTGATACAACTGTGACGATGCTGTGGTGGTGATACAACTGTGATGATGCTGTGGTGGTGATACAACTGTGATGATGCTGTGGTGGTGATACAACTGTGATGATGCTGTGGTGGTGATACAACTGTGATGATGCTGTGGTGGTGATACAACTGTGATGATGCTGTGGTGGTGATACAGCTGTGATGATGCTGTGGTGGTGATACAACTGTGATGATGTTGTGGTGGTGATACAACTGTGACGATGCTGTGGTGGTGATACAGCATTTATGATGCTGTGGTGGTGATACACCTGTGATGATGCTGTGGTGGTGATACAATTTTGACGATGCTGTGGTGGTGATACAACTGTGATGGTGTTGTGCAATGGTGGTGGAAGTGTTGTGGCGGTGCTGTGGTGATGTATTTGTGGTGATGTCATTACTTAGATGGTGATGTGCTGGTGATGGTGATACAATTGTGATGGTGGTAGTGATGTAGTGACCCTGTGATAATACAACTGTGATAGTGATAGCGTTGTGGTAGTGCTGTGGTGATGATACAAGTGTGGTGGTGGCAGTGCTGTGTCAGTGCTGTGATGGAGGTGCATTGCTATAGTCGCCGTTTTCTCATTATAGAGATGGAAGGAAAGGAGGGAGAGGAATGCTGTGTGTACCCCACATCGCTGGTGTTGCTGCCGTACTCAGAACGTGCACCCTCAGATTTATCAGTTTTAAATACCTCATGTTAATGGTACTGTAGTGATGAAATGTTTTAAGACAGTTTTGACACACACGTCACTCCGCTGGTAGAACGACAGAGACACAGCAAATGAGAAATAAACTCTCCTTTCCAGCTTCGAAGTTCTCGTGAAGCACAAATTGTCTCACAGAGAGATACTGGCGCAACTCTGGCAAAGTTATGTTTGCTCTCAGGTTAAGCTCATGGACGGGCCAACTAGGGGAGATAATACTAACTCTCTGAGACGCTCTTAACGATGGCTATTGACTCTGAGACGGGTAAACGAAGCTTCTAGCTAATTGGTCGAATTAGTGGGGCTGAGAAGGGTGAACTAGAATTGAAGAGGTGGTAGTCTCTCTCCTCTCTGCTTTCTCTCTCTTTCTCTCTCCTTCCTCTTTCTCGTCTCTCGCTGTCTCTCACATTTATTAGCAGGAAGAAAATGTATTCGTTGTATAACTTCAACATCGCCATTTTATATGTCAATTGTATATTGCAAATTAAGAATCAATAAAATATATAGTCAGAGATTCATTTTTATCTCCTCTTAGCAAACTTGTTTTGCAAGGCATTTTTTTTATTGTATAAATAGACCGTCTCCTGTTATTTTTAACAATTATTGATATCCTGTTGGTGCAGGGGAAAGTTGAGCCACTGAATGTCATGACATTTGTCGTAATGTTGTCATAATAGTCACTGGCAATTGAACTTTCCTTTTGTAAATATGTCTGAGAGTTTAAATAGCACACAATCCGTGGCACACTCTGATATCCACAACTGTGGCACTAGTTCAAGAGTGCCAAGGGGGTTTATTATAATACAGACACTCTTGGCAAGGTGCCAGAGTTTGCACAATAACGCTGGTGTGCGGAAATGTGTGTGTGTGTAAGCTCAAGGAGAGTGGAAAGCGAGGAGTTTGTGTACACTGAGTCATTCGACTGTTTACGGTGTGTTGAAAGTTAGGTGAGCAGTCGCACGGGTGCCACTCAGGTGATGGCATACGTTACGAAGTTGACGCTCTATGAGGGGTAAGTGATTGACAGGGTCAGTGTGTTTGTCGAGAAGTTTGTGTCTAATTTTGTGAGAGTGCTGACCTGAAAGTCGTCTGGAAATTAAAAATTATTGTGAATGGACACAATTCCGATGGGAAAACCTACAAAAGGAAGAAAGTGACGACCAGCGAGTTACAACCAGTGAGTGACGACCAGTGAGTTACAACCAGTGAGTGACGACCAGCGAGTTACAACCAGTGAGTGACGACCAGTGAGTTACAACCAGTGAGTGACGACCAGTGAGTTACGACCAGTGAGTGACGACCAGTGAGTTACAACCAGTGAGTTACAACCAGTGAGTGACGACCAGTGAGTGACGACCAGCGATTTACAACCAGTGAGTGACGACCAGTGAGTTACGACCAGTGAGTGACGACCAGTGAGTTACGACCAGCGAGTTACAACCAGTGAGTGACGACCAGTGAGTGACGACCAGCGATTTACAACCAGTGAGTGACGACCGTGAGTACGACAGCGAGTTACAACCAGTGAGTGACGACCAGTGAGTGACGACCAGCGATTTACAACCAGTGAGTGACGACCAGTGAGTTACGACCAGCGAGTTACAACCAGTGAGTGACGACCAGTGAGTGACGACCAGCGATTTACAACCAGTGAGTGACGACCAGTGAGTAACGACCAGTGAGCTACGATCAGTGAGTGACGACCAGTGAGTAACGACCAGTGAGTTACGATCAGTGAGTGACGACCAGCGAGTTACAACCAGTGAGTGACGACCAGTGAGTGACGACCAGCGAGTTACAACCAGTGAGTGACGACCAGTGAGTAACGACCAGCGAGTTACAACCAGTGAGTGACGACCAGTGAGTAACGACCAGTGAGTTACGATCAGTGAGTGACGACCAGTGAGTAACGACCAGTGAGTTACGATCAGTGAGTGACGACCAGCGAGTTACAACCAGTGAGTGACGACCAGTGAGTGACGACCAGCGAGTTACAACCAGTGAGTGACGACCAGCGAGTTACAACCAGTGAGTGACGACCAGTGAGTGACGACCAGTGAGTAACGACCAGTGAGTTACGATCAGTGAGTGACGACCAGCGAGTTACAACCAGTGAGTGACGACCAGCGAGTAACGACCAGTGAGTTACGATCAGTGAGTGACGACCAGTGAGTTACGATCAGTGAGTGACGACCAGTGAGTAACGACTAGTGAGTTACGATCAGTGAGTGACGACCAGCGAGTTACAACCAGTGAGTGACGACCAGCGAGTAACGACCAGTGAGTTACGATCAGTGAGTGACGACCAGTGAGTAACGACCAGTGAGTTACGATCAGTGAGTGACGACCAGTGAGTAACGACCAGTGAGTGAGGACCAGTGAGTAACGACCAGCGAGTTACAACCAGTGAGTGACGACCAGCGAGTTACAACCAGTGAGTGACGATCAGTGAGTAACGACCAGTGAGTTACGATCAGTGAGTGACGACCAGTGAGTAACGACCAGTGAGTTACGATCAGTGAGTGACGACCAGTGAGTAACGACCAGTGAGTGAGGACCAGTGAGTAACGACCAGCGAGTTACGACCAGCGAGTTACGACCAGTGAGTGACGACCAGTGAGTTACGATCAGTGAGTGATGACCAGTGAGTAACGACCAGTGAGTTACGATCAGTGAGCGACGACCAGCGAGTTACGACCAGTGAGTGAGGACCAGTGAGTAACGACCAGCGAGTTACGACCAGCGAGTTACGACCAGTGAGTGACGACCAGTGAGTGACAGTGTGGTGAAAAGTTTATACAAGGATAGTGAGGCTCATGTTAGAGTATGTAGGAGAGAAGGAGACTATTCCCCAGTGAAAGTAGGCCTTAGATAAGGATGTGTGATGTCACCGTGGTTGTTCAATATATTTATAGATGGGGTTGTAAGAGAAGTGAATGCTCGGGTGTTGGCAAGAGGTGTGGGGTTAAAAGATAAAGAATCTAACATAAAGTGGGAGTTGTCACAGTTGCTCTTTGCTGATGACACTGTGCTTTTGGGAGATTCTGAAGAGAGATAAGATAAGATAAGATTTCGTTCGGATTTTTAACCCCGGAGGGTTAGCCACCCAGGATAACCCAAGAAAGTCAGTGCGTCATCGAGGACTGTCTAACTTATTTCCATTGGGGTCCTTAATCTTGTCCCCCAGGATGCGACCCACACCAGTCGACTAACACCCAGGTACCTATTTGCTGCTAGGTGAACAGGACAACGGGTGTAAGGAAACGTGTCAGAATTTCCACCCGCCGGGAATCGAACCCGGGCCCTCCGTGTGTGAAGCGGGAGTTTTAGCCACCAGACCACCGGGCCACCCCAAGACCACCGGGCTGGTTGATGAGTTTGGTAGGGTATGTAAAAGAAGAAAATTAAAAGTGAATATGGGGAAGAGTAAGGTGATGAGGATAACAAAAAAATAGGTAACGAAAGATTGGATATCAGGTTGGAGGGAGAGAGTATGGAGGAGGTGAATGTATACAGATATTTAGGAGTAGACGTGTCAGCAGATGGGTCTATGAAAGATGAGGCGACTATTATCCAAAGGGCTGAGGAGGGGTTGTTGAGGTGGTTCGAACATGTAGAGAGGATGGAACAAAATAGAATGACTTCGAGAGTATATAAATTTGTAGTGGAGGGAAGGCGGGGTAGAAGTCGGCCTAGGAAAGGTTGGAGGGAGGGGGTAAAGGAGGTTTTGAATGCGAGGGGCTTGGACTTCCAGCAAGCATGCGTGAGCGTGATAGGAGCGAATCGAGACAAATGGTTTTCAGGACTTGATGTGCTGTTGAAGTGTGAGCAAGGTAATGTTTATGAAGGAATTCAGGGAAACCGGCAGGCCGGACTTGAGACCTGGAGATGGGAAGTACAGTGTCTGCACTCTGAAGGAGGGGTGTTAATGTTGCAGTTTTATAACTGTAGTGTAAGCGCGCCTCTGGCAAGACAGTGATGGAGTGAATGGTGGTGAAAGTTTTTCTTTTTCGGGTCACCCTGCCTTGGTGGGAAATAGCCGATGGGTTAACATATAAATATATATATATATATATATATAAATATATATATATATATATATATATATATATATATATATATATATATATATATATATATTATATATATATATAAATAAATATATATATATATATATATATATATATATATATATATATATATATATATATATATATATACATAATATATATATATATATATATATATATATATATATATTTATAAAATATATATGTATATATATATATATTATATATATATATATATGTATATATATATATATATATATATATATATATATATATATATATATATATATATATATATATATATATATATAATATATATATATATATATATATATATATATATATATGCAATAAGATCACAGTAAACAGGTGATTTCAGAATATGCAAAACAACCACTGTGAAAGAATAGAGAAGTTCCGAAAGCGCTTGGAACTTCTCTATTCTTTCACAGTGGTTGTTTTTCATATATATATATATATGTATATATGTATATATATATATATATATATATATATATATATATATATATATATAATATATATATATATATATATATATATATATATATATATATATATATATATGGGAGATTCTGAAGAGAAGTTGCAGAGATTGGTGGATGAATTTGGTAGGGTGTGCAAAAGAAGAAAATTAAAGGTCAATACAGGAAAGAGTAAGGTTATGAGGATAACAAAAAGATTAGGTGATGAAAGATTGAATATCAGATTGGAGGGAGAGAGTATGGAGGAGGTGAATGTATTCAGATATTTGGGAGTGGACGTGTCAGCGGATGGGTCTATGAAAGATGAGGTGAATCATAGAACTGATGAGGAAAAAAAGAGTGAGTGGTGCACTTAGGAGTCTGTGGAGACAAAGAACTTTGTCCTTGGAGGCAAAGAGGGGAATGTATGAGAGTATAGTTTTACCAACGTTCTTATATGGGTGTGAAGCATGGGTGATGAATGTTGCAGCGAGGAGAAGGCTGGAGGCAGTGGAGATGTCATGTCTGAGGGCAATGTGTGGTGTGAATATAATGCAGAGAATTCGTAGTTTGGAAGTTAGGAGGAGGTGCTTGATTACCAAAACTGTTGTCCAGAGGGCTGAGGAAGGGTTGTTGAGGTGGTTTGGACATGTAGAGAGAATGGAGCGAAACAGAATGACTTCAAGAGTGTATCAGTCTGTAGTGGAAGGAAGGCGGGGTAGGGGTCGGCCTAGGAAACGTTGGAGAGAGGGGGTAAAGGAGGTTTTGTGTGCGAGGGGCTTGGACTTCCAGCAGGCATGCGTGAGCGTGTTTGATAGGAGTGAATGGAGACAAATGGTTTTTAATACTTGACGTGCTGTTGGAGTGTGAGCAAAGTAACATTTATGAAGGGGTTCAGGGAAACCGGCAGGCCGGACTTGAGTCCTGGAGATGGGAAGTACAGTGCCTGCACTCTGAAGGAGGGGTGTTAATGTTGCAGTTTAAAAACTGTAGTGTAAAGCACCCTTCTGGCAAGACAGTGATGGAGTGAATGATGGTGAAAGTTTTTCTTTTTCGGGCCACCCTGCCTTGGTGGGAATCGGCCAGTGTGATAATAATAAAAAAAAAATATATATATATGTATATATATATATATATGTCGTGCCGAATAGGCAGAACTTGCGATCTTCGCTTAAATAGCAACGCTCATCTTGCCATATAAGACAAGTGAAAATTTGTGTATGCAATAATTTCGCCAAAATCATTTTAAACCTAACGAGAAAAATATATTTCACTGTGTTTGTTTTGTATTAAATTATTGTAAACAAATCTAAAATATATTTAGTTAGGTTAGGCTAAAATAATTTGCTCTTGTTATAATAAGGTTAGGTAAGTTTTCTATGATTCTTTTGGTGCAAAATTAAATTTTTTTGCATTATCATTAATGAAAAAAATGTATCTTTAAACGTATAAGAGAAAAT